AGTTCTTCCCTGTATGTCTCTGGCACCCCTCAAACTGCCTCCCCTCCAAGCCTAGCGGGAGCAAGTCCGAGTAAGTCTGTGCGCGGGCCCTTTAAGAGGAGCTGGCTGGGGATCCAGCCGCCTTAGCCTCCCTGAGCCTCAGTTCCCGCTGGTGTTTCCAGCCAGAAGTTATGGGACTTCTCTTCCTGGCACTGGAACCCTGAGCGGGATGCCTGGTGTGGGATGGGGACCCCTCAGTCCCCAGAGAGGACCCTCCCAGCCGAGGTATCCCTCTTGATTTTTATCCGCACACGCGGGTGTGGGACTAGCCCGTCTGCCTCCGCCCCTCCTACCAGTCTCGTGGCTGCTTCTTTAATTCCGTAGTTGTAGGACTTTTCATTTAGCTAGATTTCAGGCGGTTTTTTTTTTTTTTTTTTATCCTCACCCGAGGACATTTGTCCATTTTTTATTCAGATAGAGTGGGAAGGAGCGAGAGGAAGAGAGAGAAACATCGATGTGAAAGGGACACATCGAGTGGCTGCCACCCACACAACCCAACAGGGACAAACTGCAGCCAAGGTACATGCCCTTAGCGGGAACTGAACCCGGGTCTCTGTGGACCGCAGGCCGACTCTCTACCGCTGAGCCAAACTGGCCAGGGCTAGATTTCAGGCGGTTTTGAATGATGGTGGTTCTGTAGTTTAGTTGTAACTTTGATGTGGTTGTGGGAGGACTCGATACCGTGTTTCCCTACACCGTCATCTTCTCATTTGTTCTTTGTATCTATGAGTGTGTTTCTGTTTTGTTTGTTTATATTGTTCTTTGGATTCCACTTATAAGTGAAATTATATGGTATTTGTCTTTCTCTTACTGGCTTATTTCACTGAACATAATACCCTTTTGGTCATTCATGCTGTCCCAAATGGTAAAATTGCACTTTTTTTTTTTTGGTACATGCCCCTAGTGGGAACCGAACCCGGGACTCTCTGGTCCATAGGCCGATGCTCCAACCGCTGAGCCAAACTGGCCAGGGCAAATTTCACTTAAAAAAAAAAATTTTTTTTTTTTATCCTCACTCGAGGACATTTTTTGCGTTTATCTTCAGATATGGCGTAAAGGAGAGAGGGGTGAAGAGAGAGAGAGAAACATTGATGTGAGAGAGACACATCAACTGGCTGCCACCCACACGACCCCAGCTGGGGCTGAGGACAAACTGCAACCAATGGACATGCCTTTAGCAGGAACTGAACCCGGGACTCTCCAGTCTGCGGACCGATGCTGTAACTGCTGAGCCAAACCAGCCAGGGCAAATTTCACTCTTTTTTATGTCCGAGTAATACTCCATTGTATATACCTACTATAGCTCTTTTATCTATTTGTCTTTTGATGGGCACTTGAGTTGCTTCCATAGCTTGGCTATTGTAAAGAACACTGCAATGAACATAGGGGTGAATGTATTCTTTTGAATTAGTGTTTTGGGTTTCTTTGGATATATATCCAGAAGTGGAATTGCTGGGTCATAAGGCAGTTCCATTTTTAATTTTTTTGATGAACCTCCATACTGTTTTCCACAGTGGCTGCACCAATTTGCATTCCCACCAACAGTGCAAAAGGGTTCCCTTTTCTCCATATCTTCGCTAACACTTGTTTGTTGATTTATTGATGATAGCCATTCTGACAGGTGTGAGGTGATATCTCATTGTAGTTTTAATGTACATTTCTCTGATGATTAATGATGTCAGCATCTTTTCACATGGCTATTGGCTATCTGTGTACTCTTTGGAGATGATTTTATTTTAGAATCACAATATCTGAGCCAGAAATGAAGGAAGGCTGTAAGACTGGACAACTTTGGCCTATAACTTGGAAGGGGAAATGTTTGGTTCTACAGTTTTTAAAAAAAATTTTTTCCTTTATTGATTTTAGAGAGAGAGTAAGTGAGAGGGAGAGAGAGATAGAAACATCGATGAGAGAGAACATTGATTGGCCGTCTCCTGCATGCTCCCCACTGGGGATCTGGCCCACAGCCCAGGCATGTGCCCTGACGGGGAATTGAACCGGCGACCTCTTGGTGCATGGGTAGATGCTCAACCACTGAGCCACACCAGCCGGACTGTTTGGTTCTACATTTGGTAAATTTTTCATGCTGTATCATAGCGTTTATGTGCAAACATGCCATGGACTTTCTGTTATTTTTCTTTTCAGTAAGTTATGCTAACAATTTTTTACATATCAGTAGATTTCTACAATGCAAGTTCTTCTGAGGGAATAGATATAGCAGATGCTATCAGATGAAATAGTCATTTCTAGATACTGGTAGAATCATAATACTTTTATATAATAAGTGTTCTGTAAGACAGAAATCATTTTCTCGATGAAGAAAATACATATCTTCCTTGATCATAATCTTAAAACCCTGATGATAGTCCTATGACATCATTACCATTATTCTAATTAACTGTATATAGAAATTTATAGAAGAGATTAGTCCAGGCTCTTTCAAGAACAGTGAGTTTCCTTAAATGCTGTTGACAAAAATAGAAAATGTACAGTGACAGCAAAGTTTTAGGTTGCCAACTTTCTTGATCCAGTGCCATTCTTTGAGCTTGCCCTCTTTATTTAGAATATGAGGAAAGAAGGGAATCCATGCAAAAAGGATCAAGGAAGGATTGTATCTTGTATTGCTTACCAGTAGTTGGAAATGAATGGGGAAAAGAATTGATAGACTTGTAATAAAGCAATAGTTTTAGTTTTTTAACTGGAAATATTTAACCAGAGGGGACCATAGACATTGCAGAGTTGCCCTTGTAATACATGTGGAGCAGGGGTCAGCAAGCTTCCTCTGTAAAGAGCCAGATAGTAAATAGTTTAGGGCTTTGTGGGCAGTATGTTCTTTGTTGCACCTACTCAGTTTTGCATTTGTGGTGTGAAGGAAGACATAGATGATATATAAATGAATGAGTGTGGCTGTATTCCAATAAAACAGTATTTATGGACACTGACATTTGAATTTCATATCATTTCCACATCTCACAAAATGTTCTTTGTGACACTCACCCCCTACCCCCCACCTCAGGGATTTAAAACTGAAAACCATTCTTAGCTCACAGGCCATACAAAAGTAGGTTGATCCCCTAAATCTCAATTGGTGATATGCTAGCCAATAAAGACCATAACACAAAGGTGGAGCAGATTATCTGGCCATGGCCCACCTTCCTTCATATCAAGAGGAGTTAAAAATATAAATTTGCTTTATCTTCGAGGTCAGATGAAAATCATAAAGTAGTAATATGAGAGGATGTGTAGTTAAAACTCAATGGAGTTAGACCAGTAATATTTTTAGGAATTTGCTAAAAATACAAAAACAAAACAATGAAGTTCAGCAGATACAGTTCTTTGAACTCAGAAGGAGGAAGAATCCAGTAACTAGTCTGTGAGGATGTCTCTGGATTTAACTGCAGAGCTCTTTGAAGCTTCTAAATCCATCAGAATCCAGTGGTATAGTTTTGTAAAACATTTCTTACAGTGACACCTGAGAATGTTCCCACTTGTAAGTACAGAAGAAAATAAAATGAAAGAACCTTTAAAGAAACTGGATATGTTTATTTGGCTCTTGCTGCAACAAATCTCTTAAGTCTGGTATTCAGAGACAAGCTTAAGTGAGGAGAGCATTGCTACTTAATTTAACCAACATTTCTAGGATTTAGTGTTGGCAAGATATTTGGAAATATTGCAAAATACAAAATATTTTCAGATGTTTGATCCAGAAATGTAGGTTTGGATTTTGCCAAGCCTTATGCCGCATGGTGAGAATGCTTTTTCCTTGCTTTGGCTTCTTCTAGCTTCTAGAGCAGGTGAAAATAATTAATTACCTCAGAAGAAAACACTCTATTTTTCTTGAACCAGATAAATCATATTTGATGATTAGATGAAAAAAGTACAGCCTCAGAAGAGGCAGAATCAGTTGCTAGCAAGAGCTCAGAAAGTGAAACTTATTGGCTGGAATTCTATGGAGCAAGTTTTATTTCAATGAGTTTAAATGGAGTTTGTTTTCATATTTTTATATCTTAACTTCCTTTGTGAAAGTAAGTTTTATTGTATATGCTTGATGTGAAGGATGACATTAAATTTAGAAAATACAGGGGTGGGCAAAAGTAGGTTAAATTACCAGCCATGATTACCTAAAAGATAAATTATAAATAAGGATACAAAATAATAAGTAACAGCCCTGGCCGGTTTGGCTCAGCGGTTAGAGCGTCGGCCTGCGGTCCGGAGAGACCCAGGTTCGGTTCCCGCTAAGGGCACGTACTTCGGTTGTAGTTTGTCCCTGACCCTGGTTGGTCGTGCGGTGGCAGCCACTCGGTGTGTCCCTTTCACATCGATGTTTCTCTCTCTCTATCTCTTCCTCTCTCTCCCTCCCACTCTATCTGTACAAAAAATGGAAAAATGTCCTCGGGTGAGGATAAAAAAAATTTTTTTAACAAAATAATAAATAACAATAAGACAAGTAATACAAATAAATAATATAATAATAAATTATATATAATATAAAAATAAAGTGTTTTGTATACTCACAACTATAAACCTACTTAGCCCACCCCAGTATAATTTGTTATGCTGATTTTAATTTCTGTTCATGGATGCTAGATGTCTTAAAGTGGGATAGCTTTATTTAAAACTGATAGTTGATAATATTTAAAAATAAAATTAGTTGATAAATTTGTAAATTTATATTGTTTAATATACCATATACCAAAACAGATTGAGATTATTTCTGTGAGCCTTAATAAATAACTTTCTAATGCTAAACTAACAAAGTGATTTGAGATGTTTTTAAAATACTTTGAAATATAAATGAAAGTTTTAGAACTCTTCCCCTATGACTTAACTATGAAATTTACATTTCTGGTTGGCTAATGAAATTAGGGAAACTTTTAATTTGAAAACCAAAAGAAGATTGAGCAGTGCCTTGTATTTGACTGGAATTGATGTATTCTCTTGTGTTTTATTCTTTTTTCCAGTGAAACCAGCAGTGTGTGTAGCAGCAGTGACACAGGGCTCTTCACCAACGATGAAGGACGGCAAGGTAATCTTGATCCCGGCTTTAGGAGGGTTCTAATGAACATAGGAGTGAGTCACTGAGAATATGATGGCTGTAGCAGTGGTTCTCAAACCTTAGGGCATATAAGAGCCACCTGGGGAACTGTTAAAACTGCACATTTTTTGAACTCCTAGAAATCAAATAGATTTAGAGTTGGCCTTTGGAATCTGCATTTTTCACAAGTACCTGTGGTGATTTTTATGCAGATAGTTCAGACTTTGAGAATCATTTATCCAGGGGGTTATAGTGTCAAGGATGAGACTTCGGGAAGTTGCTTTTTATTAGAACCCAAAAAAAATATCCTCATGTATTATTCTTTTTTGGATGCTAAGACATTCTTTTCACTTAGGTAGAATTTATTTGTATAACCTTGTTTATAAATGATCACAGTGTTCTGGGTGAATATATTATAGAAAACATCTTTCTCAAGTTAAAAGTCCTGAAGTTTAGCATAGAACACTTTGAATAAGGCTGGTGTATGTTAATTATCAGTTCTTTATTCTTACTACCTAAACAGCAATTTGAAACTTTGTTTTTGCCCTGTACACTTGCTTAGGGCCACACTAATTGTGTATCAATAAGAATTTCATGTAGCTTCTTTGAACTAGTTTTCTTACTCTAATAAGGGATTTGTAGATCTCTTAAAGTCCCTTCTAGCCCTGAAATCCAATTATCTTTCTCCAAGGGCTAAGTGGATGGAGTTGTTAACTTTCTTACTATATGGAAGTTGTGAGTGCCTTTCTATTCTTTTCTGATTCTGAGGGAGCAAGGTGTCATTCAAGGTTACATGTGTATATATTCCCTGGTAGGTTCTAGTCAGGGTCTTGATTTATTTTTTCTCATACCAAGGAAGTCTGATTGTCTTTACATGAATGAACTGGTGCATACTGTTCAGAATTATTAATATTTGCTCTTTTTCTTTGCTTTTACTGCAATGTTATGAAGTATAATGCATCTCTTAAAGGGTACGATGTGTAATTATACAGATGTGGAAGAAAGTGTGGACCTATTACAACAGATTAAGTTTTGGGCCTTTGGAAAACCTTTCCACTGATAAGAAATCCTTGGTTTATCATGGAAGATGGTGGAATATTCTATAGCCCCAGCTTTCTTCTTTGTCTCTCCCTCAACTTCATGAATTCTGGTGATATTTTAGATGCTTAGAGTTCTCAGCACAAAGCTATGTTATTTCCTGTTTCCATGTCTTTGTTTATGCTCATCTTTGCCTGAAATCTCATCCTCACTTTTCCTTGAATGGTTGATCATCCAGCAAGACACAGTTTTCCTTTTGCTTCTCCGGGGCATATTTATGGATTACATCAGTGGGTTTTCTTGCCTTCATGGCTTTGGCCAGTAGGAGGCATCAGCAGAAGAATAGAGGGAGACAGGGAGGTGAATGAGATTGAGTGTAATAGTCAAGTTTTCATTATGATAATACTGTTTAACAATCCCAGAATTTTAGTGGTTTTTTTGTGTTTATTTCTTACTGTGGGACTCGGGGGTTAGCTGAGGTTCAGCTGGTCCCCAGGCTTCAAGTTAGGTTTGTATCTTACTCAGTGTATCTGGGTACTAGGCTAAAGTAGCAATGGCTATATGACTCATGGACTTCTCATGGCAGAGAACATGAATGCCAACTGAGCAAGCCAGACCATGCATGAATATTTAAAGCTTTTGCTTGAATCACATTTGTTAATGTTCTACTACCTAAAGCAAGTCATATGACTAAGCCCAATGCCTGTGGGACTAGGAAGTGTCCTCTACCTCAAGGGGTGTGGAATTCCATGGCAAAAGGCATGGGTGTATTATTCCATCATAGGGGGAGGTAGTGATGAGGTGAAAACAGTGATGCAGTCTACCACATTGGAGTATAGCTTTCCCTAACTCCCTTTCTGTTGCATTGCTGGTTGGCTGTGGTTGTGTTCCTCTGCAGAAGGCTACCACTCCTGTTGGGCAGCCTTCTCGTAAAACCACAGTTCTCTCTCTGGGCTCTGATAACCATTCTTTCCCCTTGCTACTTCAGGTCTAGTAATAGTAAAGACTTCTCACTGTGCTGGCTCCAGGATGCTTCACCATCCCTTATTGGTTTCTTCCTCTTAATATTGTTTACACCTTTGTAAATAGTCACTTCATTAAAGTCATAGTTACTCCATTTAAATGTGCACGTGTTTCCTAAAGGATTCAGACTGATACTCTCAATATAGGCACCATCTCCTAGGACCCTTACTCTTTTCTTTCCCTGTGCTTGTTGCTTTCTTACCACTCACCATATAACATTATTGTTTATAGATGCGTGTCTTTTCCATTGAAGTTTTTTAAGACAGGATTTAAAAAAAAATTATTTGTAACCACAATAGGTAACACATTGCCTGACATATAGTGAGCTCTTAAATAATTATAGGGAAGCCCAGTTGAGGTGGAAAATTCTCCTTTATTCCCTCAAACAGAATTGTATGTAGAACCTCAAATGATAAAACAGCTAACCTATTTTGGTTAAAGCAAGATCCTAAAGGAGCAGGGTGTCAGGAGCCTGATCCACTCAGCCTCTTCCTTATTCTCTGGCAGCACTCTTTTGAGGAGCTCCTGCATCAGGCATCCTAGTGAACCCAGGTTGAAGACTACGGGTCTAGATGATCTCACAAGGTTACTTCCGGTTCAGTGAGTCTCTTTTCATATTATAAAAAGTCTTGGGTGAATGTGAAGCAAAAAAAATTCCATGATAGTTTACCATTTGTTACAGAAAACATGACCTAGCTAAGTACACTTTTTTACTAAATGGCCTAAGGAATGCTTATGAATAAGAAAGCAATTAATATATTGAAAATGGAGAAACTAATTATTGTTTATTCTAATGCCTATCTTTGATGCATCTATGTACGTGGTTTGATGAGATGGTTTTAGAGTAGTGGTTCTCAAATTGTGGTCCCCAGACCAGCTTAGCATCACTAGGGAACTTATTAGAAATGCATATTTTTGATCCTGCCTAACCTGACTCAGGAACTTTGGGAATAGGGCCCAGTAGTCAGTGTCTTAACAACCCCTCCTTGTCCTTTGATACACACTAAAGGTTGAGAACTACTGTTTAAGAGAAACAGCTGTTGGTGGTATGCTTTTTAAGGAGGACACGTTGAGTAACTTCTTTAATAGCAGTATCTGCTGCTATTCACCAGTATGCAGCTTTAATTTCCCCTTTTAGTGATCTCCACAGTGATTTAAGAGTTGTCATTATCCTGGGTGTTAGTAGCCCATGAATGTGCTACTTCATGTGATTGGCATGTCCTGAGCAGCTTCCCTGGGATCCAGTATACATTAGAGAATGAATATATTATGAACTCCTTAGATGTTCTTGTAATAATTTCCTTCATCTTTGCTATTTTGAAAGGGGGGGGGGGCACCTAAAGTTACCTATCTTACTCTTTGTGGCAGGAATAAACTATTGCAAACTGAGATGCTATCATTTAGTCAATAGAAAGATGTTCAAACCAAGACCCTGGCTATATGGGTCTAGTCTTGACTTTGTCATTATTGAAGAGGATGTAGCCTTGGGCAAATGATATAACTTCTTGACATAAACCTTGGGGAGATTATACTATTTGTTTCTGGTGAGTTTTTTCCTTGTAGCTTGGATTGCTGGTTTTAAGATGATTTTCTGTCCCATTAATGAGGTACCAAGAAAAAAACAAAATATGGATATACAGTCTTTATTCATCTACTATGAGAAATAAAACTATAGCAAGAAATCCCTCAGGAACAGCTAGTTTTGAATTGAGAACCATTTGTGGGCTTTGAATCCCCAAGTTCATTTATGCTGTTGAGAATGGTACATGGGAGGCAGTTTATTTTTGTGGTAAAGGCTTTGGAATTAGTCACGTTTTGAGTTCAAATTCTGGCTTCATCATATACAACTTTGACCTTGACTTCTTTGGGCTTTATTTGCCTCATTTGTAAGTTGGATTTAGTAAGGTTTGGAAGAAATAACATGTTTATAGATTTTTAGCATGGGCTCTGGTAGGTGGTAAGGGCCTAGTAAATGGTAGCTTTATTTTTGTACTATTAAAAGCAGTCCAGCATAACACATTATAACATTTATATGAAACACGTTTGGTGTCCCAGTTTTCATCATAACATGGATCAAGAAGACGGATCAAAAAATTTTTTGTACTTTGACTTTATTTAAAAGTATACTTAAACCTAAAGCACTAAGAAGTCATCCTCCCATTTTTTTTTTTAATTTATTTTTTTATTCATTTATTTTTGTTACAGATGTTTCTCCTTTTTCCTCTCAGACACCCTCCTCCCTATCCCCCCCTGTCCCCCCAAGTATTGTTGTCTATGTTCATTGGTTATACATACATGCCTATAAGTTCTTTGGTTTATCTCATCCCCCCACCACTCTGAGGTTTGTCAGTCTGAACCATACTCCTTTCTATGTCTCTGGGTCTGTTTTGTTCATCAGCTTTTTTTGTTCATTATATTCCACAAGTAAGTGAGATCATGTGGCATTTGTCTTTCTCTGCCATTTGGTATTTGATAGAGCATGTTAAAATTCCAGCTTCTGAAAATGATCTCTTTACTTTAGGGGATGATGAACAGAGTGATTGGTTCTATGAAGGAGAATGTGTCCCAGGATTCACTGTCCCTAATCTTCTGCCCAAGTGGGCTCCTGATCATTGCTCTGAAGTAGAAAGAATGGATTCTGGACTGGATAAACTTTCAGATTCCACATTCCTTTTACCTTCTCGGCCAGCTCAAAGAGGTGAGTTCTGAGGAGATCAAAATATAGTTCACACTTTCGTTGTTCTCTTTGGGGAGAATCATCCCATGGTATGCGTCTCCTTCCTCTAAGCACACATTAACTATCTGAATTTTGGAGCTAGTCCAGGGATTTTCTCCTTGAGATGTCAGGGTCATTTAAGAAATTGTGATAGTGAAAAGAACTGTTTCAGAGGTTTCTTTTAGCTCTGTAAATTTAAAATTCTAGGATTCCCAGTAATTAATAATCAACTAGTTAGTCAGCTTTCAAGTAATTTTTGAGCATCTGTTGATGATCAGAATTTCACTAAGAGCTGTAACTCCTGTAGCATTTCATTGTGATGAATTTGGGTGATTGAAAGCCCTTTTCAAAGGAGTTGGTTCTTGGTCAAGACTATTCTCTGGTGGAGGGACATTGTTTGCGTCCTTAATAATGTTTATTGAGCCTGGCCGGTTTGGCTCAGCGGTTGGAGTCTTGGCCTGTGGACCAGAGAGTCCTGGGTTCAGTTCCTGCTAAGGGCACATACTAAAATAATAATAATAATAATAGTAATGTTTATTGAACATTTCAATGACCATGTCTAAAAGTTCTTTATGGCCTATTTAAAATACACATAAATAAGCAAGAATAGAAAGAAGAAGAAACTTAGAATGGCCTGTAATTCCACACTCAGAGACAGTGTTATTGATAACATTGTTTTGTTTTGTTAATCCTTACCTGAGGACATTTTTTCATTGATTTGCAGATAGAGTTTAAGGAAGGGAGAGAGAGAAATATCAATGTGAGAGAGACACATAGATTGGTTGCCTCTAGCATGGCCCTGACTAGAAGTAGGGATTGAACCTGCAACCCAGGTACGTGCCCTTCGGTCTGTGGGCTGACGCTATAATGACTGAGCCAAACAGGCCAGGGCTGTTATTAATAACATTTTGTTGTGGTTCTTCCAGTTGTCTTTTCTGTTGTAGAACACATACAGCAGTTAGAAAAATGGTATTAGATTATACATGTTATTTTTACCATTATTTCGTGAATTAGAATGGCTTTAAGTAATCATTAGCATTTAACTTATAATTAGAAATTGTTTCTAATATCTTATATATATCTAGTTTTTTTCAGTTTATTAATATCTTCCATGTGCTGTTTCATTTGGTTTCAAAACACCCTTATAGAATAGAACTGAGCAAGTTGTTATCTCTCTTTTATAGATGAGACTACGTAGGTCAAAGGTGAATGACATGCCTCAGATTATATGCTGGTGACAAAGACATGGGAATAGTAAATTCTTGACAAATAGCCTAGTGATACTAGTTTAAGGGCTGGTCTATTAGACCCTGTACAGGAAGGCCTTTGGTGTACTAGAAGCATGCCATTGCTAAAAAATCTTCGGCATTCAGTTACTGAGGACTTCTTTTTCTTTTTGTTTTAGGGTACCATGCTCGGCTGAATCGTCTGCCTGGAGCTGCAGCTCGATGTCTCAGAAAGGGGCGAAGAAGGCTTGTTGGGAAGGTGATAAGTCTTACTGTTTACCAGGCTCAGTGGGAGAGATAATATCCTCTACGAGATTTGTGTACCCTCTTGATAATCATAGGTGCTGCAGAATTCCCTGGAGTTAATTAAGCCAACTGGAATATTTTGCAAGTTTATAAGAGTGAACATTATGTAGGATATGAATGGATACACACAAAAAGGATGAAGTTTAATTCATATAGAAGTTCTGACAAAGCAAACACTGTCATGACAGTATCTATTGTTTCTTCTATTCTTTTGATTAATCATATATTATTATTATATGAATTAAAATACTCTTGGCTTCTTTATGACTCCTCCTGAATTCATGAATGCTTATTCTGTCCTATCTCTGGTCTTTTGTTCTAGAATTCATGAAATGTTAAACCCCCTCCACTGGGGGGTTTATCTACCACTTATTCTGTCCTTTCCAGGGACTGTGCTGGGCACTCAGTTCATTTAGTCCTCCCAAAAACCTTGAAAAGAGGTAATATTCACCTTTAGCAGGTGAGAAAAACTTGAGTTCAAAGAAGTTCAGTAATGTCTGATGTTATCCAGATAGAAGTGGCAGAGTAGAGAATCGAACCCAGGTCTACTTCCCTTTTTTAATTTAAATTTTAAAAATTATTTATTTTTTACTTTTGCTTTGGGATTGAATATAGGCTAAGATTGGGGCTTAGAGTCAGAGAAGATAGTGGTGGGCAAAGAGTGAGGAAGGGAGAGGCATTTTAGAGTATTAATGAGTAGGATTGCTCAGTAAGCATTTAGAATGCCTACTATGTGGCAGGCTCTGTGCCAAGCTGGATATATAGTGGTCAGAGCCACAGTCTGGCTGCCTGCAGAGAGCTACTAAGTTTTAGTCATACAAAAGAAATGAGGCTGTTTATTTCCAGATGACCTTAGATTCTTTTTATCTTTAAATTCAATTTCAAATGTTTAATTAGAAAGGCATTTATTTATTGGAAGAATGATAACCTTCTTCTTTTGAGTCACTCCTTTTCCAGACAATAAAAAGCTGCTTTTGCTATTCTGGGTGCTTATTCTTAACAGCTAACAGGGTAGAAGTGAATACGTGGGGTAAAGGGAAGAAGGAGGTTGGGAGTGGAGAACAGAGAGATGTTTTGATTTTTTTTCTCTTTATTGGTTTAGCTTGACAGTATTCTCCCTAACACTTACTTAGTTTCAACTCCTATAAAATAAGAGCTTCCCACTTCCAGAGAAATAAATCAGTTCATCTTGACGCTCCCTTTAGCTTTCCTGAGGCGGGGAGGGGCACTAGGGCCTACTGGATGTCTCTAAGGAGTACAAATGAATAGAATAATATTTACTTGTTTAATTCATCTTCATCACCTTAAAGGGATATTTGTCATTTCTAGCAGAGGTCACTGTTCTGCCCTCCTTCCCCCTCCCCCTATCCCTCTTCTTTTTTTCTAAATTGTAATCATAAATAATGAGTTTTATTCACAGCTCCCTGCCAGCGAGCTGCTAATTACGCAAAGTACTGCTTGTAATTTACACAGTAATAAACTGTAAATTTAAACATTACGGCACTTTAAGTTAATAATTTTTTTTGCTGTAACAGATAGCTCATTTTTCACCCATCTTTTCTCTTGGTCCCACTACCATGGCTGTGTCTGTGACCAGGAGTCATGGGCGAAGGGATGAAGAATATGAAGAATACAGTATGTGCAACCTTTTCATTTAGCTCCACTCTTGCCCAGAATCTGACCTCAAATTAATTTTTCTATAGCCAGTTCTGCTAAAATATGTATCCTAATATTTAAGCTAATTATATACATAGATGAATACAGATAATAATATTTGCCAAGAAACAAATGTGTTTGAGTAACAGACTTGACATTCTTGACATCCATGCCCTATGACATACTCTCTCATCCTAACACTTTCTCCTATGTGCATAACTCTTATTCACGTACTGTGGGTGTGCTTCCCCAGACACTGTGACAGATATTCATTGTAAACGTGCCCACGTTAAATGAAGGGTGAGTGCCTTCTGCCATTTTCCAGTTTTTTGGAAATGATTTGTTTCTGAATTGCTTGTGATGTTATGGTAAGATTTCATACTGCAATCTTGAGAACCCCAAATTTAAGAACCAGTTTATACAAACATCTGTTTTTAAGAGATAACATTTAACAGACAAAATACAGGTGACAATTTTTGTAAGTTGCAAAAGTTCTTTGCTGTGTATACATTTATTCAGTAGGTATTTAGATGTTACCAGTGAGGACTCTGTAAATGTCCCATTATGAAAGCTATTGGGTTATAATCATTTGACTCTAGGGAGCTTGATGTGCTGCTGGCCTGTTAAAAATTAGCTGCTGTTGGATTTAAAAAAATGTTTTTATTTCTATATGCTCTGATAATTAGGAGGTATTACTATAATACAATACTATATATAGTAAACAATGTTTATAATGATTTTTTTGGAACACTAGAGGAAAGTAAGTCTAGGGTAACATGAAATACTTTTTTAAAAATTTTAATTGATTTTAGTGAGAGGAAGAGAGAGAGAGAGAGAGAGAGAGAAGCACTGATGTGAGAGAGAAACATCGATCAGTTGCCTCCCACATGTACCCCAACTTGGGGATCGAACCTACAACCTAGGTATGTTCCCTGACCAGGAATCAAACTGTGACCCTTTGGTGCATGGGACGATGCTCCAACCAACTGAGCTACACTGGCCAGGGCAGCATGAAATACTTCTAAGTTAGATTCCCATAAAAATAAATATAGTTGCTGTTGGGTTTTAAGATTGACATTTGACATGTGTCTTTGAAGTTGCTGGCACAGTTATGGGAAAGAGTGAGCTTGATGACAGGTTGTGCTTTATATATTTGTTTCTGTAGTTAGATGACACTCTTGTCTTTTCAGGAGACCAGCATAAGTACTTTGGGTACTGAGAGGCTAGGCCACATCATTAGTGACTCTCGGCAGAAAGAGTAAGTGCTTACATATTTACTGGCTATTCCTTAGAGAAGGAGGCAGAGGAAAGTTTTATAAAGGAACCTAAACATCTGACTTTAGAGCTGAAAGAAATCTCAAAGATTTGTACTTTATAATAGTCAACATGGCTAATACCCTAAACCTATGAGAGTGATTATTTTTTTCCTTTCTAGACTAGTTTTGATTTCTTTGCTTTTTATATTTATAGGTGCTGAATTTTAAAAGTAGCCTCCAATAAAGATGTTACATTTTGAACTCATTCTTCTGTCTCTTAAAATTATTTTTGTTCAAAAGGGGTGATTGCCTCTACATTTGCTTATATTCCCTTCCCATTTTGAGACCTCTTATATAGAGAAGTACCTTTTGGCCTAACGACTGTGATAAGTACAACTAAAAAGCCTGTGTGTGTAACTGTGGGAAAATCATTCTACCCCTTCTTGTGATAGCCTGGTCCCCTGACGTGACTGGCTCTTTGGTGTCTCCTGAACACATCATGGTCAGTGCCCAGTTACGATGCTATACCTATCCAGCCTGAGTAAATTTTTAATTTACAAAATAGGCCAAGTGTGTGAGTAGTCGATGCCCTTGTTGAATTGGGGATCCTGTTTTCACTGCACAGCTGAGAGTACATGGGTGTCACAGCATCATCTTGGGTTTATTTGTAGAGTATCTAGTCTTTTACATTCCATTACAAGGTTTTCTCCTTTGAAGAGTTATTTCCTACAGACAGGTTCAGACATTAACATCTCTTTTTCCAATTCCATCTTTTCCCATTTCTTTCTTTGTCTTCACTTCATTATGCCAACATTTTTTTATCTTCTTCTCTCTATAATTTTCTTACCACTTCTTTTATTGTTTTCTTTACTGTTATTCTCTCCCTCTCTTTAGTGTCTGGTTACCATCAGCTGGGAAAAGGGAACGAAACCAGGTAAGGTCTTTTCTTTGTCATCTTTATTTTATCACTTGATCTCCTTTTCTTTAGAAAGAAAAAAGTGTTGGCTTCTGATTTTCCTCACATTTCTGCTTGTGCACATGAGGTAAGATTCCTGTTCCCTATGTTATTCTCATTTTTTTGGAGGACCGTTTCCCAAGAATAGATATTCACTGATAAGAACTGTAGCTAATTCTTCTTGGTAGGTTCAGCTGTAATCTTTAGTTTATTAGTTGTAAAACATATTTCATAGGAACCCCATTTTAAGTTTTATTTTGAACTTTGCAGTAAGAAATCAGAATGGTCCTCTTCTGCTTATGGTTTAGTTCAGCAGCAGAATCTCGTGCTGAGAATTACAATGTTGAAGCCTACAGTATAAACAGAAGGAAGAGCTACTTTGGGTGAAGTGGGGTCGAGGGCTTAGAGCCTTGCCCTCTTAATCTTGTCCCTAACTACTCACTGAGGGAGCCCTTGGCACATCTAGTCCTTTGTAGGGGTCATCGTTTTAAAATTACTAACAGTGGCTATTATTTGAAACTTTTAATTTTGGAGGAGAGGTTGCTTTATTGTGGTGATTAGTTATAAAATAGATGTAATCATTATATCAAACTCGTTATTTCATGGAAATAGAGTAAGGACAAGGCTGAGTAATAATAATTGATATAAAAATATTTAGTAGCTCTGGCCAGTTTGGCTTAGTGGTTAGAGCATTGGCCTGCAGACCAAAGGGTTGTGGGTTCAGTTCCATTCCGGTCAAGGGCACATACCTGGGTAGCAGGTTGGATCCCTGGTCAGGGTCGTGTGGAGGTATCTCTCTGACATTAATATTTCTGTCTCTCTTTTCCTCCCTCCCTCCCTCTCTCCCTCCCTCCCTCCCTCTCTGTCTACAATTCAATGGAAAAATATCCTCGGGTGAAGATTAAAAATAACAAATTAAGTAAACAGTGCAGGTGGGCAGATAAGGAAAACTATCATTAAGGTGGTATGTGGGAGACTGCAGTTTAGGGAACTCCACTCTAGAGTGCTCATCGTGTTTGCAATCAGAGGATCTGAAGGCAGAAGAGGACCTTTGGGTATTACCTTGTCCAGATGTGTTATTTACAGATTAAACTATTTGTCCAAAGTCATAGAGCTCGTAGAACCACTACTAGAACCTCTGACACAGAGAATAGTTCTGTAGTTTGTATTCTTTGAGTTCTTTTGAAATTACCATTTGGAATTCTTTCAGTCTTAAAATATATTTAGTTCTGAAATTTTGGGGGAGGTTTATCTATTGTGGAAAAAGTCCAAAGAACGCTGGCAAACATAAAGTGAAGTATTTTTATGTATAGTATCCCATTTGATCCTTGCAACCACCTTTTGAGGTCCATAGATGTTTTATAGATGAGAAACTGACATTGCTTTGTAAACTGAAAGCATTGTTTCAGTCAGTCCTCATAATAACCCTGTAAAATAGGTAAGACAGATAGAGATACCTCCATTTCACAGGTGAGGATAGTAAAGCTCAAACAGATTATGTAGCTTTTAATACATGGCAACTCAGTGGTAGACTGGAACTAAATGGTAGTTGTTCTAATTCTTAATGTAGTTCTGTTTTCACTACACTGTGCTGCTGGTATGTGCTAATCAGTTATTCACTGGAAACATTCTTAGGCCCGGCTGGGGTGGCTCAGTGGTTGAGCATCGACCCATGCACCAAGAGGTCGCTGGGTCGATTAGCAGTCAGGGCACATGCCCAGGTTGTGGGGCCGATCCCCAGTGAGGGACATGCAGGAGGCAGCCAATCGATGTTCTCTCTCTCTTTCTTTCTTTCTTTTTTTTTTTGTGGTACGTGTCCCTAGCGGGAACCAAACCCGGGACTCTCTGGTCCGCAGGCCAACGTTCAACCGCTGAGCCAAACTGGCCAGGGCTCATCGATGTTTCTGTCTCTCCTTCTCCCTTCATCTCTCTCTAAAAATCAATAAAGAAACATTCTTAGGCCCAAGGGCTGATAATCAATAGGCATAAGTTCCCATTATGTCAATTATAAAGTTCAGTTGATTCTTGAACAACACGGGTTTGAACTGTGCAGGTCCACTTATACATAGATTGTAAAAAATAAATACTGAGATGTATTTTTTCTTCATGATTTTCTTACTATTTTCTGTAGGATTACAGTATTTAACACATATAGCATACAAGATATGTGTTAACCGACTGTTTATGTTATCAGCAAGGCTTCTGGTCAACAGTAGGTTATTAGTAGCTAAGTTTTTGGGAAATCAAAAGTTATACATGGATATTCGACTATGCTGGGGGTTGGCGCCCTTAACCCCCACGTTTGTTCAAGTGTCCGCTGTACTATCTTCTGCCATTTAAGTAATTATTGCTTATCAGAAGTTTTTGAAAACAAATAGTTTTGGTGGGGTGGGGAAGATGAGGGGTACTAGAATACACTGTTGAATGTGCACAACCTTACTGAATGGTATCTGTGGGATAGCAAAAGAATTGAATGGTCAAAGGGAAAAACGTAATCAAATAGCAGGTTACCATTTATGATCCAGTCTATCTCATATAAGCTTTACTAAAATAATCTTATTTATTTTTGCAGTTGAATCCCCTTTCTCCCCTCTATTCCCTGGATGTTCTTGCTGATGCTTCTCACCGAAGGTGTTCACCAGCACACTGCTCTGCCAGGTAATTGTCCTCTTGTGACTGTTTCTTCCAGACAATGCCATTTTCCTTTTTACAGTACTTTTAAAATTACAAAGTGTGTTTGTGTGTAGTAGCCAATTTGATCTTTACAAAAACTTTTGAGGTCATTGGATGTTTTACAGTTGTAGAAACAGGCAGAATGGTGAGATTATCTTTCCTGTGGTCATATGATTGGTGTGTAATTTAAGTTTCAACTTTGACCGAAGTTTTCAGGCTCATATTTCATATTTCTTCTGCTAAAAGCCCCATTTTCAAAGAGCGTTATTATTATTATTTTTAAATTGATTTTAGAGGGAGAGGGAGAGAGAGATAGAAACATCGATGAGCGAGAACATCGATTGCCTGCCTCCTGCATGCCCCCCACTGGGGATTTGGCCCACAACCTGGGCATATGCCCTGACTGGGAATTGAATCGGCAACCTCTTGGTGCATGGGTCAAGGCTCAACCATTGAGCCACATTGGCCAGGACAAAGAGCATTATTAATGGTCCTTGCCATAACTTACAAAATCTTGTGTAATCTGACTTCTGCCTGTATGTCTAACCCCCTTTTATAAACTCCTTCTTCTTCGCTGGGGAAGGGATCCAGCTGCACCAGGGAGCTCCATTTTGTTCTTCAAAATTAGCAACCCTTTCCTGCCTCTGAACCTTCACATGTGCTCCCTTTGCCTGGACTACTGTCTTAGAGCAGTTCCCAGGATTGGCTCCTTCTCATCTCAACTTGAGCCACCTCCTCAGGAAGGCCCTCTCAGACCATCCTATTTAAAGGGGCCATCTCAAATTAAAAGGGCTGTGAGATATCACCTCACACCTGCCAGAATGGTGACCATCAACAAATCCTCAAACAACAAATGCTGTTGAGGGAGTGGAGAAAAGGGGACTCTAGTACAGTGTTGGTGGGAGTGCAGACTGGTGCAGCCACTATGGAAAACAGTATGGTGTTTCCTCAGAACATTAAAAATGGAACTACCATTTGACCCAGTGATCCCACTTCTTGGAATATATCCTAGTAAGCCTGAAACACCAATCAGGAAGAATATATGCACCCTTGTGTTCATAACAGTGCTATTTACAATAGCTAAAATTTGGAAGCAGCCCAAGTGCCCATCAGTAGATGAGGGAATAAAAAAGCTGTGGTACATATACACAGTGGAATATTATGCAGCTGTAAGAAAGAAAGATCTCTTACCCTTTGAGACAACATGTCTTGTTTCCTGATATCTCCCCAGCATCTAACGCAGTGTCTGGCACTTAGTAGGCATTTAGTATATATTTGTCAGAATGAATCCTGAGCAAAATGAATTTAGCGTCTCTTAATATAAATTCTCTTTAAGTTAGGTGACATACAAAATAAATACGGTTTTAATTGTAGCATCTCCTAGCAGGACTGTTGTGCACAGAACAGTTAATAGGCTGAACCAAAGGACTTTTATTATTTCTAATAGCACAAAGAATTTTTTTCCAAGGTTCTGATGATTTTCTTTTCTTCCTAGTACGTTCTTACATGTATATGTTCATAATATTTGGGGTACAGAGTGCACAAAGAAGTTATTCTTTCATGGATACAGTTAGAACTTCCACTGTGAGCTGTAACAATAAACTCTGTACCATAAACTGCTGCTCAACTTTCTAGGGATATAGTATTTAAATGGGGAAAGTCTTTTGAAAAGAGAGACCATCATAAATGGTGTTACTAGGAAAATGGAAAATTGTGGGATAATTATAAACTATTGTAAGGTCTTTTCTTCAGTAGATTGCAATATATTCATCATTCATTCATTCAACATTTGCTGACTCCCTACTGTGTGACAGGGTCTTCGTTTAAGTACTACTCTTAAGGAGCTTCCATTCTCATGGGAAAGTCAGGTGTGGAAATTGACAATTACAATATGGAGTGATAAGTGCATAAAGGTGTGCACCACAATGATATGAAGCACAGAGGAGGGAGGGACTTCTAACTTAAAGGCTTGGAGTTTTTCTTTCTTTTTTTAAAATCTTTACCCGAGGACATTTTTCCATTTTTTTGTTCAGGTAGAGTGGGAGAAAGGGAGAGAGAGAGAGACATCGATGTGAAAAGGACACATCGAGTGGCTGCCACCTGCACGACCCATCCAGGGCCGGGGACAAACTGCAACATAGGTACGTGCCCTCAGTGGGAACCAAACCTGGGTCTCTCTGGACCACAGGCCGATGCTCTAACCGCTAAGCCAAACTGGCCAGGGCAGGCTCGGAGTTTTTTTAGAGGAGATGGTATTCAAGCTATCTTGGAAGACACAATGATTTCAATTCGTAGGAAAGCAGTCCTCAAGCTTTTTGTCTAATACAAAATAAAATAATGGCTGTTGTATACTCTTTGGGAAGATATAATAGCACCACATCATGTCAGATACTGAAAGTGGATTATTAGCCTTCCTTCACCTCTGCTACCTAGAGCTGTGCTGTGCTCAGTATCCGTGCTTTTGTCAGGTTTCCTGTTGCCTTTAAAAAAGCCTCCTCCTGGCTAGAGTGGGTGTCAACTTCTTGTCTTTGTGTACCTCGTTATTCACATCATTTTCATTCTTTTGCTGGCAGTGCTTGTAGCTGGACTTAGAAACATAAGAAAGTCTAGGTTGTGCTTCTGGTGCACTCAGCTCCAGGGAAATATTACTTCCATTGCTAAAAGCAAGGCGAGAGAATGTGGACAATTATAGCTCCTAGCTTGTCCTTCTTGACGTCATTTCTAGGTAGTGGATACAAAGTGGATTGTGCGTGTGAGGTTCTTTGGGGAAGGGGAAGAAAGTTTTTAAACTTACATTTATTTATTTTCTTATCCTTAACTTTTTTTTTGTTTTAAATTGTACCTATATTATTCTAGCAGCACATATTTTTGTTTTGTGTGTGTGTGTATTACATATATATGGGGTGTTTTTCAAATTTTCAAATGTTTTACTCATGAAGGTACATACCTATTAAAATTTGGTGACCACTAATCCATGGAAGTGGTCAGCACAAGTGACCTCTATGTAGATTTTAGAAATGTGCATGGTGAAACACTGAGCCCTTGGGGATTCCCTCATTCCTTTGAAATAGTGGGGTCCTTGCCTGGCAAGAGTCAGCAGAGAAGGAGCAGTCTAGTTTTCGTTGTGGCTGATGGATGAGATTGGATTGAGCACTGGATGGTGGGCTTTGTGGAGTGGACGATTTAACAAAGCTTGGCACCTAGGAAGGGGAGTGTTAAAGGTTGGTGGTGGTAGGGAAGAGGCAGGTGAATGACTGTATCAAAAACTGTTTCGAATGGAAATTTTATTTTTCTTGTTCCATTTTATCTGTAGTAGGAAAAATTTCTTTCAAACCATCTGGGCAGCACTGGGAATTACATACCCATCATTAGAACGATTTGTGTGTGTGTGGTGACTATGTTATCATTAGTGGTATAATTTTATTTTGCGAAGAGAGAAGTGTTTCCTGTTTTATCGCAGCTTTCCCTGAGGAGGACTGGTGTATTAATTTGCTGTATTGCCTCCTGGCTGTTCCCAGGCTGTTTTTCCTCTTCATCATGGAATTTTTAATGGCCCTCGTGCCTCTTGGGAAGCATGTGAGGAAGAGCTCCTCGGGGAGTGCTTTTCTTTTTTCACATGCCTATAATTACTCTCCTTTAAGAGCACAAAGAGTTTGATAATCATGCCTGAACTGTGAAGGTTCCTCCTGTCAGGTTATTGAGCTGAGGCTGCTGCTTGCCTGGACTTGGCCAGTCCCACAGTCCCCCACACTCACCTTATGTGAGTGAGGACCCCTTAACCACCTTCTCATTGCTACAACATTATACAGCCCTGGTTCTCAGTGTGAGGCCTCGTGTTGCCGGGGGCCACGGGTGACCTCAAGGCACTCCCTTGTTTAGTATCTCATTGCTATAAACAAAGAAATAATGGGACCGGGATTTTATTGATGTTTCATTTTAATACAGCCCAGATGGTGGGTGCAGTGCATGGGACAGGGGAGTCTGTGGTGTTTGTGCTGCCTAATAGATTTGTAGGTTAAGGGGTTTTCAGAAATACCACTCTAGAAATACTTCGGTTTGGTGGTTTTCAACCCTCGCTGCACTTTGGAATCACCTGAGAAGTTTAAAAAAATATATCTATGCTGGGCCCCACTTCCCATGATTATGATTTAATTGGTCTGGTATGAGGCCCAAGCATTGGCATTATTTATGCAGCTAGGGTTAAGAACTGTTGCCCTAAATGCATATGGTTTTACGGCTGGTTCTTTGTAATTTGCTTAACAGGAATCTCATATCATAATTGGCATGAGCTCTGTGCTTTGATGCTGTGAGCATGATTTTTGTGGGAGGTAGCACACCACTTCTCTTGGCTTTAAAGACCTGCTGTAGGTGAGAAGAGAGTGTTAGTTAGCGTTTAGCTCATGCCCTGCACATGGTGATTAACAACTGGGAGGACTTGCTGGAGGGGTGTCTGGATTGCTAGCTAGTTGGCAGGGTGTATGGATGAAATTCTTAAACCAATTGTTTTGGTTTGGTTGTTTTGTTTGCTAGCACTGGGATGTTGCTATTAAAAATAGTGTACTTGGTGTTGGTGTTAAGAATTGCTGCTGCTCAAACAGCAGATGGTGTGGTTGGTGTTCTGGTAGAGGCTGTGGTATTGCTATCAAGAATGATAATAAGGGGCTGGTGTTGTAGGCAACTTTTCCCAAACTGACAGATTGATTGATTGTCCAGGATAGCTTTTCTTACCATTATTGCCTTAGAAAACCATAACTTATCTGTTGCTACCTCTCTGTATGATGCACAGACCACCAGTGGTAGTTTTAAATGTCTCGTGGCAGCTTTGAGTTTTCGTCAACTTTCCTTTCTTTTGGGTAGTGATTTGCTAGTGTATAACCATTTCCATTTATTTCTTCTTGTGAAGTTCTTAATCTCTATTAGCGGATACTAGACCCAGGTAAGAATCTCGGCTTTACCTGGGCAAATGACTTAACGTCCCCATACCT